CATGGTTCTACCTGAGGAGGTCTCATGGTTCTACCTGAGGAGGTCTCATGGTTCTACCTGATGAGGTCTCATGGTTCTGGTTAACCAGAAGCTGAATCGGGTCGATGTTCTGTGTTCCAGCTCTGGGTGTGACCCAGACACGCCGCCCTGCTCAGTCATCATCGTCGTATCTTTGTCAGGAAGCTCATGTCTGACTGATGACTTTTTCCCGCTCGTCTCTGATTCCAGAACCGGTTCCAGGTTCTGGAATCGACACACCCTGACCCACCCCCCCTTCGCTCAGCCGGCGTGACGGCAGGGGAGCGGTTTCATCTTCAGGGAAACAGGTGGTTCTGATTGTGGAGCGGCGGGCCTCCATGTGTTTTCTATTTGGATCGCTGCATCTGCCAACACGGCACCGTCAGCTTTAGGAGGGACTCAGCAGATATTTCTGGTCACGCCTGCAGCGCGGCTCAAAACAACCCGCCCACCCCCGCTCAGCTGCTCCGGGTCATTCCTCAGGGCGGGTCCGGCCTGAGGCCCAGAGGTTCTGAGCGTTTACTGAATCAGAATCAAGTTTATTGCCAAGTAGGTTTGAACTTTATGAGGAATTTAACTTTGTGTTGATAATGCAGGCAAATTATATATATATATATATATATATACCGAATACAGGATCTACAGCTAAATACAATATGAAACATACTATACACTTTATACAATATATAGTATACAGCTATATACTATATACACAGCAGGATGTGCGTTAATGTGACGCAGGTCTGGAGATGCTACGTTGGTGTAGCTTGTAGGTCCTGAACGGGGGAGGGAGAGAGGCAGTGTCATGGGGGTCTCTGGGCCTGTCAGGCCGTCTGTGACTGACCTACATGGACAGAACCAGAACATTTCTACGCTCACCTCAGATGGACTCCGACACAACAGAACCTCCAGCTGTTATCTATTCGGAGGCCCTGGCTCTGGTTCTGATGGACCACCGATCCAAAGAAATCACCAAACAATAAACTGATCTGATCTGTTCTGATGAAGATCGGTCCAAACCGGTTCACCTTCTGGACGTGGTTCTAACCCTGGCGGTCCCGTTCAGCCCGGCGCATTAGGATGACCAGAACAGAGAAAACGAGCTCATCATCAGAGAGAGGAAACGGACCAGAGTAGAGAGAGCGGCGGCGGAGCGACCTGCAGCCTCATCTGGATCAGAACTGAACCACAATCACTAATAAAAGACTTCCTGTGTTCAACAATTAATGACCCAAGACCCGGATGGTGCTGAGCTCAGGTCCTCCTGCAGAGGCGGCTCTGGCTGGGGGCCTGCTGCCCACCGAAACAAACATGTTCCTTAATGTTCTTAAAGTTGGAAGCATCCAAACCGACCAACTAAACAAAGTTTGTGTTTATGGTCAGGGGCGGATTTATGACATGTGGGGCCCTAGGCAAAGACAGGCAGGGGGCCCTCTGAATTGAGAAGACACCACATAAAACAGACCCATTCTACAGATAGAGAAATGTTAATAGAATAGACATCATTTGGATGAAATAATAGCTGCATGAATCATGACAGCAGACAAGATAGAGGAGAGCAGGAGGCGGGGTTACCAATCTACTCGCTCTGGAGAGCAGAGTTCGCTGCTTTTAGATGTTGTCTCCAAAGTCTCCAGTAGCAGAAAAAAGTCGCTAGATTTGGCGCTAGGAGCTTTTTTTGTCTGTTTGGACCTTTCTGAACATGTGCAGCAAATGGACTGATCCAAGATGGTGGACACTGAAGGGGGGGGGGCTGAGACACACTTAATATAAACGTTCTGATGACATTTTAGATAAAGGATTTTCATAGAAAACATAATTAATGTACAAAAATAAGGAATTGTTGTTTTAACTATACATATAAACAGTTTTATGAGGCCCCCTGAAACTTGGGGCCCTAGGCAGCTCCCAGTATTGCCTAATGGTAAATCCCCCCCCCCCCTGTTTATGGTAGAAAGCAGAACCTGTGAGATAAACCATTTAGAAGTGAATCTGGTCAGCAGGCGGCGCTGCTGAGCTGATCTCACTTTGAACTGACAGAAGAACAAACATCAATGAAGCTGATTTGAATTAAGCTTAAAAAGTTTGTAAATTAGATCAGACAGCTGCTGGTCTCTGCTGCCTTCTGGGATTCTCCTCAAACTTCCTGAATTTAGGCCCCTGACTAATTAACCCTCCATCCTGCGGGTCAGGGGCCCCGGAACATGGAGCCACCTGGACCCTGGGCTGGTTTCTGTTAGAATCGTTTTAATAACCTCAGCTGCTTTCTTTAAGCAGATCAACCGATAGAAACCTGGAAACTCCCATCCTTATTAATGAAAGGTGGAATAATGTTCCAGAAGCAGCGGAGCTCGGCTCTGACCCGCGGAGCTGATCTCACAGGTGGCCGCTTCAGCGGAGGAACCGGGACTGTTAGGGGAAAATCGCCTCCAGTCGTTCAGAAACTCAGTTCTAAGCTTGAAGGTTCGGTTCGGGTGATGGGAGGAGGTGGTCCCGGCCCGCCCGGCTCCTCCCGCGGCCCGCCGCCGCGGGGAGGACCGTTATCTCTCCATCCCCGCCGCCCCGCGGTGAGCCGCTTTCTGCGCCGGCCACAAAACCGCGCAGACACCACTTCAATTAACGGACTTTTTTAACCGAACTTGAGCAAAGTTTATTTCTTTTCTGGACCTCCGGAACCAGGACAAACACACCGGCCAGCCAAGCGTGCCCCAGCCGGCCAGCCCGGCTCCGGTCCGGCCGGCTGGGGACCCGCCGCTCCGCCCCGGCGGAGTTCTGGTGAAAACAAGCCAGGAAAGCAGCAGAAAGTTGGGAGGGAAGCGGCTCTCCTCCGCCGCGTGGCTCCGCGGTGACCCGCGGCCCGCTCAGGTCCAACCGCGGATTAAAAGTGATGTTATCCGGCGGCCAGAGAGCCGCGCGGAACCAACAGCTTTGATTTGACTTACTGTGAGTGGAGAGGAGCGCGAGGAGGAAAGCCAGACGTGTTTTCGCCATCTTGGTGTCGATGCAATGCTCGGTGCGGCTGGACGAACATGCGCAAAGTAGCCTGACGGCTTCAGAGAGGAGAGAGAGGGGAGAGAGACCTACAGGAACACTGCCAGAGAGAGAGAGGAGGGGGGTTACCATGGCTACCCGCAAGCATCACTCACTGGGACAGGAATTTATGACAGCATGAGGGAGGCCCTACGGCAGCGGCTGGGATTAGAACCAGCAGCCTTCAGATTGATAGAATATGAAAAGTTTGTCCAATGATGTTTCTGTTAACCAATCAGAAAGCGCAGAGCTGCTAAGCAGAAAGAAACAGCCAATAAGAAGCTCCCTGCTGCCAACAGGTGGTTCAAACTGAAGGAGCTTCAAGGTTCTCCAAAGCTCTCATCTTTTTTTAACAACACAACAGATTTAAATTCCAAAAAAGTTAAAATCAATCGACTGGACTTTGTTTCCAACTTTGAAGACGTTTCTCTTCCATCCAGGAAGCTTTTTCAATCAAATTGTCAGAAATAGCGTTGAGTTTCAGGTTTTATCCAGCAGCCCAACAAAGCCTTGTTTTTGCAAATAGAAACAGATGAACGGGTCCCCCCCTTTGGAATGGGGGTCAGTTGGCTTCTTTGTTAGCCTGCAATGCCCCATACCTGTCTATGTCTCTGACAGGGACTCGAATAAAGTTGAGTCTAAGTCTGTTGTTACTGGTCATATTATTTTTATTTACTCTGGTACATAAAAAGTTAAGCTGATAAATCTCAAACGGCTCTCAATACAAATGTAATTTTGTTTACCCTCTGGGTTCTCAGTGGATTCCTCCTTCTTCCTAAGGTCTAGTAGTTTCAAAATGCCCATTGGTGCATCAGTGCATGCTTTGCTGCTCATTCAGTCTCTTTTTCATGTGTTTCTGATTTATCTGTTAGAAAAGCAGCTCCTTTCTGCAAAGCTTGGGATCTCTGCACCATTTGTTTTCCCTCTAACACCTTCATCCCTCAACAAAAAAA